CAACCATTCAGTGGCGGATTTATGGGGGAGGGGAAGCCGGCCCCTCCCCTTCCCTAAATTGTTCAAAATTTAAAAATAATAGAGATTTAAAGAAAATTATATTCAAATTTCAAAGCTGAGAGTGCAATTTCCGGCCATCTAGAGGTGCCATAATCACAAATTTTCTTCCCTCAGCCCCAACCATGGTGGGTCTGAGGCTGAGTTTAATGTCGTACCCAGGACGTCCCTAACTACCTTAAGCTAGGCTTAACTACTTTTAAATACAGTATATTACTCTTAACTACAATTAGTTAAACTATCCCCCGCCGGACACCATCCCGGTATTTAGCAGTTTCAGGGCCATTCTATAAACCATAACATAGCCTAAGTCAGTTAAATAAATCGCTTTTGAGAAGAGATTTAAATGTAATGATGGAAGTTGCATGTTTGATGTGTAATGGGATGTTATTCCAGTTGGTTGGAGAAGCAAATGAAATTTACCCATAAATATCACCATTCCCCGTCAATGAGTTATAAAGCACTTTACCTCCATTGGCAGTAGTTTTTCTCTCCAGGACCACAATAGAAATCATTTTCACAAATGAGTGTGTCATCATAGCTGTTGTTAAATAAATAAATACTGTTGTCTCTCTCCAAAAGTACAAGTAGGTTCAAACACAAGATGCACTAATTACAGCTACAACATTATGAAATCCCCGCCCCCAGGGAGCTGAGTATGTTTTCTATGCTGTGTTACTGAGAGTAATAATGTAAAGCGCTTAGAGGCCTTATTAGGCATGAAAAGCTATAGGCTAACTAGTGGCGTAGGTATGGGCAGTGCTATTGAGGGCCCGTTAAATAAGTACTATAGATCTAAAAATATAACTTAAAACAAATCCTATTTAAATTTTAAAAGGACCCTTCAATAATATTAGGTTTCAGAGGCTACAATTATTGATTATTTTCATTACAATTTACTCTATTACCTATTTCCCTCCCCCCACCCAAAAAAAACAACCCCCCCCCCCCCCCCCCCCCCCCCCCACCCAAAAAAAACAAAAAAAAAACAAAAAAAAAAACAAGCCAGCTTCGTACGGTACGATGAACAGAATACTTTTTGAATGATTGTTCTATTTTTTTGTTGTCAATGGGCTTATTCGACTGGTTCATTTCGTTGAATACGAATTTTCGTTGAGTATTATTTTCATTCGACTGGTTCGTAAAATAGAATTCGTTGACAACAAAAATTAATGTAACCAGAATGCGTAAATCAGTGTTAAGTTATGCAGGTGACCAAAAAAATATGGCCGATTGGTCAGTTTAGCAACAACATTTCTGAATATCCTTGAATATTTTTAAAAAATATTTTTTAGATATTTCTGCGCGTTAATGACGTAGGCCTCTGCTTTAACAAATGTCAGAATATGGACTCTTCTAGTACTTGCCTGTCCCTCCTCTGATAAAGGTTTTCATAAACAGAAATATTTAAGTATATGAGAATGTGATAGAGGGTCTAGAAAGATGGAAGTTTTTTGATTGATTTTGAAAAATTATGGAACTCTCAGACTTAAATTTAAATATAATTTTCTTTTTCTCTCTTTTTAAAAAATAATTTTGAAAACATTAGTGGGGGACGAGGGGTCGCCCCCCCCCCCTCGCCTTGATTCCACCACTGATACATAGTTCATCAGAGTGTGAACTTGTGTATGATCTCGATAAGGAGACCCACTCTTTCCTGGCATTCGGTTGTAGGGAGAAGGAATTTTTGCTATTGCGTGTTCAAATGTGTCCATGGCAAAGGCTCACAAATGATAGGCATAGGCCTACATCAATTTTCTAAGAGTGGTTTAACCTTAGTTTAATGCTGACAAAATCAGTTCATCTTTTGCTATGGAATGAATTAAGCGGCGGATACAGCGACGTCAAAAAGGGGAGGGGAAGATCGAGAGACAGCGTAGGGAGGTCCAGGGGCGCGCATGCCCAGGGAATTTATTTGCCTTTTTATAATTTCATTTTTTTTTCGAATTCTTTGTTGCACCTCGCTAGCTAGTGTTGTTTAGTCCAGGTTAGGAGGCACCTGATCTATAAAATGTAGGCCAACATCGTTGATCAAACTACAACCATTCAAAATTATTTCATATAGGCCTTGTATGGTCCATGTGTATAGGCAACATCGCTTTGAATAGAAATATGAAAAAGGAAATTTACAAAACAATCAGGGAGCAGTCATATCAATATGAATGTGACTGCGCCCGGACAAAATATATAATAAAACAATTCGGTGTATTTCTTGTCATTATAAATGGCTCCATCAATTTCAACAGTATATGGAACATACACGGACAAACACTCCGATATTAATTAGGTGAACGTTCGTCTTCAGATATTCCATTAAACGGCAACCGGGGCCGCAATCTTAATGTACGCACTCAGCTGAAATGAAGTGTAGTGAATGATCTGCGCTGTCCAAACAGCGCCACTTACATTCCACTTTTCCAGATTGATCGCACCTAACCTGTCTAAACTAACGATTTGTTTCATGTAAAAAAAAAGCAGAAAAGAATCAATTAGTAATTGATTGATGATCACGTTATTACATAGGCCTATTGCAGTCTACTCACACGTTTTGTGACTGGTTAGAAATTTTCTCAATGATTATATAAGCCTATATATATATATATATATATATATATATATATATATAAAAAAATAT